AAAGTGGTGATAGTAGTAGTAGGTGGATCAAATTTATTGTTGGAGGTGCATGATCTATGTCTTCGGTTGTGGTATGAAGACTGTGGCTACAATCATATATTTGGAATTTCCATTCTTGTAAAGCCACGCGGTACAGATACCAATTCTTACCCGGATAGAAGCACGGAATTAATAAGTAATTACATGTTAACCATGGGCAACCATTTGTTGGGAAGGTACCATTCACATATTGTCGTAGATGACGAAGATTGACTGGTGAATCTCCAGTTGGAATGTCTTCATTTTTGCTTTTATATATTGTGTATTCTTTAGCACATTCAGCTTGAAATCCAAAATCAAGAATTGCATATTCTTTTGAAAGATTAGTGTAACCTTCGTTGATACGTCGCCTCAACAAGTTTAATTCCACGTCGATGTTCTAAGAATGAATAGAATATATTAATTGATGAAATAAATAATTATAAATCAAATATATTAAGTGTAATAAATGGTGAAGTAATATTACTAACCTTAGTAGTTATATCTTGTCTTATATCCATTATACTTTTCAAGACTTCTCTACTGTGGAGATTGCCACACCATTCATCAAAAAATGATCTGCATAAGAATAAAATAACTGAAATTAGTTTTAAATGAATGAAATTGAAATGCAAATATTTAAGTTCAATTGTTTACCCTGGTGGATTCTTTGATATCCAATCTCTAAGGACAATATATTTTTCCATGTCGTAATCTTCTAAGGTATAACTTTCAAATGCAGAATCTGCCCAGGATTTTTGACGTTTTTTGTTCTTTGTTGATGTTTCAACATGTTGAATCCTTTGTTGAATTTCTTCTGCTTGCTGAGATGTTGAAGTGTCCTTTGGAGTTACACTTTGTTGAGAATGAATATCTTTCTGGATGGAAGCCATGATACTTTCCATATTTGTTTTCCAGTCTGATATTGTATTGGTGATATTGGTATTTTCTTCATCTATGTAACTCTTCACCGAAATGATACTTGTATCTATGTAATTCTGCATGTTAGACTGCATGTCCTGATATTGTTGTTGTTGTGAGTGGTGTTGTTGTTGAAACAAGTTTTGTTGCCATTTTTGCTGTTCTTCAAATAAATGTTGCTGGTTGCAAAGGATGGCTTGACAGCGGTTTTCTTGTTGTTGAATAATCTTTGTTTCCAGATTGTTGCACAAGTCTGACACATTTGATACTACGTGTTGTAACATTTTCTCCATATCTTCTTTTGTGACGTAGTTGGAGCTAGAACTTTCGTCAGCTGCAGCATTGTAATTTGAGCTGGAACTTGGGCCACATGGAAGCATATTTTGAGGCATTTCTTGTGTCAGATTGTTTCTATCTTTATTTGCTATGGCATCCAATAGATTATGTTGATTGTCATCTGGAAGTGAAAGGGTTGTATACCATGCAGTCTGCAACTCTTCTTCTGTAGGGTTTAAAACTGGAATTGGTTGAATCTGTAATTGAAATCGTCAAATAATTTGTTAGAAAAAGATAAAGAAATATAATAGCTGATGAAAAAATATAATTAAATAATTTGACTACCTCTTCATTATCTAGAAATTGCTTGATTATGTTCTCTGTCCAAAATTTATTTGGTTTCCATCTATTCATTCTTGGACATTGCAAAGTTTTGTATCTGCGTCGTCCAAACGTCTTTCCAATATGTGGGAAGGCTTCATATATCCAATACTGAGATAATTAAATACAAAAATTATGGAATTTAATATAAAGATTACAAGAATTAGATACATAAAGTATATTTGTATTTGTAAAAAATATATATATATATAAAAACATACCTGGAAAGCTAGTGGATATCCATGCAAGGCGTATTTACATTCATTTTGTTGATTTTGTTGTAGTCTTTGTGCTCTTTCAAGCTGAGACTCTCTCAGAGAATTTAATAGCACAAAATATGCTTTACGCCCCCATGGGTATTCAAGGAAGTTGTCAAGCTGGTCAACCATACCTAGTGTTCTATAATCAATATGCCTTCCTGTTGGTTTTAAGACACATTCTACTATCATCACTAATCCAAGCTTGAATTTATCATCTTCGTCTTCGCACAGATGGAATACTTCATTCAGCATATTCATGGTAATTCTTTTGACACCAAAAAAATATTGATTTTTAAGACGAGTATTATG